GGGCCGGGGAGAGGGCGGGGAACCCGCTGCGTTTGTGTGCTTTTGTTTTGGTTCGGTTAAAAAAAGATCCACAAGACACGCAGAGAAGAGGCGTACATCAGTCATTGCAACTCATTTGCATAACAATCAATAAAGACATGATCCGGCCACCGCAGCCTCCTCCCCTTCCCCCTCCCCTCCCCTCGCGGGCGGGCTACCCTCTCTTGCCCGCTTTAATAGCTGAGAATAGCGGGGGAGGGGAAGGGGGAAGGGAAGGGAGGGAAGAGCCGACAAATGCCAAGGGAGAAAGGGCAATTGGAGGGCTAAACACATGCAAATGATGGGTAGCGAGAGGCTCCAAATCCTCTAACCGGAGGGCATCTGAACGTTAAGGAAGGTGGGAACAAGCCGGATTGCCGGGGAGGGGGGGAGAAAAGGAGGAGGAAACTATCAAATTGAGTACAGGAGAGGGAGGGAAAACGAGTATTCTCGAGGTGTTAAAAATAACAAAAGTATGGTAAGGCTCCACTGTGCCCCTCGGAGCCTACCCTCCTCCTCAGTGGGGTATAGGTGCACAAAATAACTGCAAATCTTGACACATTGAAAGCTGCAGAGATTTGTTAGCTGCCGCTTTTGTCCTTTGGGTCTGGATCTCGGTAGAATTGGTGCTGGAGGTTTCAAAGGCAAGGCTCTTGGTGAAGGTGGTGCCCTGCTTAGCCAGAAATTAAGCCTCAGAGTAAATGGGGCCAGAGAATAGATAGGAAAACAGTTTCCCAAGGGCCAACCTCATGCCTTCCAACTAAACCCGGATCGCTTCTAAACAGGTTTAATCCCCAGTCAGGAAGGCTGCAGACAACAGGCACTGTGTTCTCTGCACAGGTCCATACCTGTGGATGTATCTGACGAATAAATTTATATATTTATGACAGACTTAAACAGGGTCAGCAAAGTATGCTAAGTTTTCGTTAGCTTTAACCTCAATTTTTATGGCACTGTGTGCGTAATGAGTAATGTATGGGTTAATTTATCAATCAAGTTAAGCATTGAACCCAGGCTTCTATGTTCATTTAAAAATATGTATATGCCACCTTATAGAGACTGGAAGTGCTGCTCTTAAGGTTTTTGAAGGCTGAACATTACCTGTTCAGTATAATACAACAATCTATAGGCTGGAGGATATTATGGAGTTTTATCACTCCCAAGTCATACTTAAAATAATGGTTGGGAGGATTTTAGTTTGCAGATCAGACGGAGTTGCACTATTTATAAAGTAAAAGAAAGCATTAACCCAGTTGAATACTATATATATAGTATTTAATTGATTTAATTTACGTCTCTGTCAGACCTCCCGGATTTTGTCAAAAGTGTGGTAAGGATGTCCACTTTTCATGAATAGTTAATATGATTAATGATAGTATTAATCTGGTTACTTGATAAAGATCGGGTTGGATGGTGGACGTTTTCGTCTGTCTGTAGATCGACTTGGTACGATTTTTGATACCAACCCCTTTAACTAGTTCAGGAAAGGAAAGGAAACCTAAAAAAAACACACCTCAGTCTTGTTAGACTAGGAGGTCAGTCTGCACCCTTGAATGCTAAAAGTCTTAAATGACAACACAGCCACCTTTGCATTTTCACAGCAAGAAAAGAAAAAGAAATGAAAGAATCCATTGCTCCCTGGAGGGATTTGGTAGCAAATCCTACTATTCCCACACACAAATACGATTGCAGGTCACCATGTATAATAGAATACTTTAAAAAAAAAAAACTATTTTAAAGGAAACTATAGCAACTACTTGAAAGAAGTCGCTTTGTTGGATAAGGGTAGGCAAAGCGCTAGATTGGTAAAAGGTTTTAATGTTGAATATAAAAGGGGGGGCAGGCTATGGAGACTGCACGTTCATGCCCTATTTTTCACAGCCTTAAAGTGGCTTTGCTTGCACAAACCCTCTTTCCTATCATTCCAACCTCTTCTCTCCCCCAACAGCCCCCCCCCCGCCAAATCCCCTTGCAAGGTTTATGGCTACCAGAAACAAGGGGGGAAAATATAATGGTGCCACCAACCATGTCATTATTGTTTAATCGATATTATATGTCGAGCGCAAGAGAAGTCTAAAGCGCAGCTATTGATTTTTTTTCCCAATATTAAAACTATAGCCAGATTAAAAAGAAAATTAAAAGCAGCTCAGAATCCACGATTTTCTCACTGTTTAAATCAATGTGACTGTTCATGTTCAATACTGCATTTCTGTTCTGCTACAGACAGAGAGATCAAAGGTCATATTTAACATTCAGGAGGAGGGGCTGGTGCAGATTAATTAATAAATTAATAGAGCAGCGCCTTTTATTGCTGAAGCTTAGCATTCATCTACTTTAACAATCCCAGCGGTCCAAGAGGCGGAAAAGAGAGGGAGCGAAAGAGCGCGCATGAAGGGGGGGAAGGGAGAAGAGAGAAAGGAAGAAAGAAAGATCCAAAAACAATCACTTACCAGTCTCTGTATTTGGGGGGGGACTGGGGGCTTGGATTTGCAGACGTTTAACCCGCCTGTTTGTCTTTTATTTAGTTGCACATCACTCCCTAACACAAAGGAGAGGGTAAAAAAAAAAACACAAAAGAAAAATATCCCGAGGTGTCTTTCTTTGGCCGCTCCTCAATTACAACTTTGATACTTGTAAACAAACTGTGCAGGGCGGTGGTGCGGGTTGGGGGTGGGGAGGCTTGGTGGGAAAGAAATAAAGACTCCGATCCACTAAGCAAATACCTGTAAGTGCCTCTTTTTTCTGGTTGCAGAGAAAGGAGGAGGGGAGGGAGGGGGGGAAGAGGAAAGAGCAGGCACTGAATGTGCGTGTGTGTGCGTGCGTGTGTGTGTGTGTGCGCGCATGAATGTGTGAGAGCGCTTGGCGGCGGCGGCGGTGCTCGGTGGTCTCTCCCTGCGCGCTGCGCTCCGTCCGTCTCTCCTGTCGCTGTGTGCGATGGAGGGAGGGTGGCAGCCGGGGGGACTCGCTCTCCCCCTCGCTGTTTGTGCGTGCCTGCGTGTGTGTGGTTACCAGGAGGAGGGGAAGGAAGCGAGGAGGCGGAGGGGAAGGGGGGGCGAGGAGTGAGAAGGCTCCGCAGCGCCGAGGAGGTGAGGAGGATGCGGGGATGTGGACACCTACTGATGATTGGCTGCAAATCACACCGGGAACAAGAGGCGCGCACGGGCCATTGCTCCTCTTTTCCCCCCACAAATCCCCTCCCCTCCCCTCTTTCCCTCTCCTCCTCCTCCGACGCAGCGAGCGGCCACATTTCGCTGCCCCTCCTCTTTCGGCCGGGAGAGGGTGGGGAGATAAAGCTGCCTGGAGGCTCATTTGTAAGGAGCAGCCACTTGCCGCGCACTCCAGCCTCTTGATTCCCCATTCACTTGCCTCCGTGCGTGCGTGCAGAGAGCGCAAGGGAAGCCGGGGAGGGGGAGGGAGGGAGAGGAGGAGGAGGAGAAAGGGTGTGCTCCTGTCGGCGGCTGGGTGGCCGCCGAGGGAAGACTTGGGCGGGAGAGGCGAGAAGCCCCCGACCCCGGAGAGCGGGGAGGTCCTTGTAGCTCCGTGAAGGATGCTTTCTGCTGAGCGCCCTCTTCGCCTCGCTCCCAAGCTTCCCCCCCCCTCGCTCGCTCCCCGCGCAACTATTTGCTGGAGGCCTCCGGGAAGGAGAAGTGGTGCCTCTTCAGGAGACCAGGAGAGGTCGGGTGCGCGGAGGCTTCCCCCCCGCGTCTTCTTCCGAAAAGCTCTCGACAATCCCCGAATTCCAGACGTGGGAAAGGAAGGGAGCGGGAAGCTAGCAGGGAAAGAAGATCCCCGGCGGGCGCTTTGTGTGCCAAAGGCGTGTTTTGAGACGCCCGGTTCTCCCGCGGTGCTTCACACCCGGAGGAGAAGGCAAAGGCAAAGCGCTGCCTAAACGCGGAAAGAGTTTTTGCTGGTTTTTGTCGCTGTCATTCATCTTGCAGTTGAACTACAAAGGCTAAACAAGTCGTCTCGCGGCGAGTTATTGGGAAGCCAAAGTTGTGAAGGTGATAGTAACCCTGGCTAAGGCAAAAGTAGCCAAGTTTATTAGCTAATAAGCAGCCCCCACGCTTTATGTTAGCAATTCAAAGATGCGTGCTGACCTCTTCAAATGAGGTTGGCTGTTTTCATTGTTTCACTGGACCCCAAGTCAAGTTCTTTATTTTAATTTTGAGAAGGGTTGGGAATATGATTACACATTTAGATGACCTTAACTGATAACTAAACGCTAATCAGAATCAGACCTGCTTAGTATATGGATGAAGAACTCCAGAAAATATTAAAGACTGTAGGCTAGGAAGGGAGCTGGAAAAAAAATCCAAAAGTCGATGGCAAACTGTCTGTATTAGGAAGTCATCAGCAGTCAAATTGCCTAGGAGGCTTTACCTGGACTTAAATGCAAATTAAAGTGATGTACTAGCCAGTTACTTCTGTTTTAAAAAAAATTATTGGGAAAGACAAAAACAAGCTGATTTCAGAATTGCATAGAATAATCTTTGTACTACTAAAACTATTGTGCCTGTAACCTTCAATTGGACAACATTGGAAGATAATATGGAGCATAAATTATTGAAGCAATGTAACTCAAAGGGACTGCCTAACTTACAGAATACCTGGACCCATGATTCCCATGGGAATGAAATTTGGGAAAGTTGTGGCTGTTTCCGCACCATCTCCCCTACACTTCATTGAAACCTATAGGTTGTGTGGAGTTTCCACCTCCCTATTGCCCTTGTACCTATACAACTGGCAGCAACTTCACACCACTTGTTTTTTGCAAAAGTATGGGCACTGCAGCACTGCTGAAATCAGCTGTGGTCATG